AAGTGGAAATTTCCCGAGTGTCCTATGTCGAGCGTGGAGTTAAAAAATTTCCCAAGATTTCGGGACAGTCGATACCGGCTATTTAAAAACTTGAATACAAACGTTAAGTCAGCTATAAATACATTTATAGTCTGATTTACCAGAGAAGACATGCGAGATGGCCGGGAAACTTGCGGCGTTGCCGATTGTTCGTTTACCTCTTGGCCAATCGTGTTCGAGCACCGACTCGTGCTATTTTCCGTTCTTTGCACATGTTGCTATTCTTTTTTAAGGCGCCAAAATCCCCGTCATCTCCATGGTGACGACCTAACGACGATTCTCACGAGGAGAGTTAAAGTTTCGCATATTCTATAAAAATATAATTTTAATTCTCTAACGTAACGTAAGAACTACCTACCCGGTAGGTTAATGTTCCTCATAATTACGACACGTGGCTGACATAGGGTATTTTATGCCCGCGCGTAATTTCGTTACGAGATCCCCGAGCTTATGACGATCATTGTCTCCAGAACTGAACGAGATAAAATTCATTTTTGATCGAGAGATTCAACAGAAATAATCCTATTTCCGGGCGCACCGCAGTCATGGCCGCGCCCCTATGTAACATGCGGTGTCCGTGTCAATACTTGTACCCGTGGTAAAACGAGCCATAAAGCGAACCGATCCAATACAACGGAATTCATTGCGCTGTCATTCTCGCGCGATGCAGTTCGCGCTATCGCGCCGCGAGTGTAATTAACACGCGCGACGATTTAAATTCTCGCGCCCTGATCCATTGTTTCCCCCTCCCCGTCGCTGGAAATTCCGACCGTTAAAAATCGCGCCCACTCGCGCCACTCTGCCCGCCGCAGTCCACGATCGCGATCACGTCGTGACTTATTGGGCGAAGAAAACGTACCGGAGAGTCCACGAAGGGACAAAAGTGACTCGTGTACACGGACCGAGTTCAGTTCTTTGTCTAGAGCTGACAGTATTATTGCTTTGTAATCTATATGGTCGTGGACACGATGGTTGGCGAGGCGTTTGGCGTGGCCAGGGATCGCAAACATACGAGACCCGCGTGAACAAATAAAATTCATTTGCACGGTACGCGACGAAAGCGTAGCGCGCCATTATTTGAATATTCATTTTACTTTGAATATAACCTCTACCGGGACCATTAAGTTCATAGCATTTTTGTTCTTCGAACTTTGTATAAATAAGTCAAACGAGATTCGAGGAAAAAAAAATTAATAAAACGTAATAATAGTATTTACGATAACGAATATACTTTTGGGTATACCTCATCAGGAATAAAGTTTTACAGGCAGCTGTTACTGATTTGTTTGCGTAAATCGATCTAACATGCGACATATGTTCTATTTATACTTATCTATATTTGATCCTAAGAGATTATTTGCAGATATTATGCATACGCTGATGCAAAAATTAAATTTAATAATAAAATGCACGACAAATATCCACCGGTATTTTAAGAACTCGAAGCTTCGTTAATTTCCATGAATTTTTAATCAAAAGCCATCCACGCCCGACGATAATTTTCCGCTATCGCCATTAAGCACCGTTTCCAACATTTTATCTTACGTTTCAAGATTTGCAATGCCGGTAGTACTTTCAATTATGCTGGCGGAGTCCCGACAATACCAGCGATACAATGAAGACCGCGGTATCGTACGAATACCGTTATTACGCACCGCTTTATACGGGTCACAAAACCGGCGTAAAGTTTTCCGGGTAATGGAGAATGGATTAACAATGGAACACGTTCAGGAAATGCACCGAATGATTGATACATTATTTCAGAATTGCCTCGTGAAAAATTGATGCTGTCATCGTGACGCTTTAATGCATATACTTCCCACTTTCGAGCAGAATCAATTATCCTTTATTCGACATCGACACGAGGATTCACGATTATTTCGTTTCTTAACGCGTATCAATGTAGTTTACGATTCCAAGCGGAATTTTCTACTATCCTAAGTCAGGGGATCGTAACCTTCCCGGGCAAAAAGAGTTAAGAAAAAAACCGACGAATCGCACACACGCATAACATGAGTATGTTAACGCGCTGCAAGTGTTCTGTTCGTTGGAATGATCCATCTATCGTACAATTAATAGACCTAACCTATCGATCGAGTTCAATGTATCAAGTATCCCGCATCTGACAATATGTATGCCGTAACGTTCGAGCACGTAGTGTTACAAATCGAATAACAAGAGGTCCGCGTGGTCCATTGAAAGCTGCGAGTAGTACGGGTCGAGTGCCGCGAACAATTCTCGTTTAAGCGCAACGAGCAGTCTTTAAAGGTTTCGAGAACGAACGGCGATAACCCACAGCGAGCAAACGGTGTTTCATAAAGTTCGCGAATAATAACCAAAGGAGAAATAAAAAGAGATGTCAGACGCGTGAGACGTTGGGTATTGTGCGTGGATAATTGCGAACGCCACCGGCACAGTTTACGATGCGCTACCGGAGGCGTGGATTTCTACGAGACCTCCAGTGAAATCGCTCCTTTAGATAATGCTCGCGAGGACGCGCGAAAAGTAACAGCCAGGCCTCTTATCATTCAATTACCAACACAATCTACGACCTTGCGCCTTATCGGTAAGATGGAACGCAACTGTTTACCAGCGCGTCTATGCACTTTTCCTTGTTCTCGCCTATTTCGTAACTTTCAACAAGCTTGATCAAGAGGACTTTGAAAAAACAGCATTTCAAAGTGATTTCAATTTAAAAATGTTATATATCCATTTTGAAATTGTAATAACGAAGTTGGTAAAAAAAAAATCACCTAGCAGCTACATATATATTCTTTTTGAAACTGTGATAACGAAGTTGCTCAGCGAAAAAGGGTAAACAAAAATCACGTAGCAGCTATGTCTACGAAATGAACGAAGCTTTAAAAAAGTGATGTGCCTTTGAAGTTTCCTGGACGAAAAAAAAACTACGTTTCGCGTCCACCAATGTAACACAAATTGCCCTCTTTACGCGGCCCCGTAGCTTGTTCGGTGTTTTATTTCGCTTTTCAAAGTCAGTTCGTGAACCGCCGTCTCGTTGCCCTCCGGCAGTTTATACATCCATCCTTTCCTAATGTCGTAATGGTTACGAGAGTCGATAAGATCCTATTACATGTTATGACCGTTAACGCGTACGTTTAAAATTCCGTCGCGTGGAATTAATCGCGCGAGGAACGCGACGTCGATGGAAGAAAAAGAGTTGTCGCGGGGCCGACGAATTCGAAAACGCGGCGGATGTAGTGCATAAAATATGAGGCCGCTCGACACTCTACCGCTTCGCGCATAATTAACGCGAGACGAAGAAAAGAGCAATCCGTGGGGATACGTTTATGGCAACAGAGGTAACTCCCGCGGCCACGTTGAAGCGCCTAATTCCATCTTTGTAACGATACAAAAAAAGTGGTTAATTGCCAATCGTTCAACAAGTATAATTCCTCGTTGCCAACGGGGGAAAAAAGGAAGACAATATTTTAGAACCAATTATGTAGTCAAGTTGACTAATCTCGCACGTTCTACTTTCCAATCCGCGACAACGCGATTATTATCTCGATGTGAATCGCTCGAAGTAACCTTATCTGTTTTTTTTTTAAACACGTTTTTCTAAAAAAAAATTCTCATTCAATAGAAAATTAATTGCAGGATAAGATTCCTCTTCGTTGAAAATCCTATATCATAGTACTTGCGCGGTAGTACGAACGTGAATGGATCTTTTGGTAAATATTTACCGAGAAGTTGTGTCTGCGCGCGATCGAAAAAGTGGGGACGTCATAATTCTGTACAGTTATGTATACATATGCGAAAATTTGAAACCCAGCGGATGAAAATCTCCGGTCCCCTTTTTGCAGGTTAACTCTATACATTTTCCCTGTAAACGCGCGCGTAAATTGCGTTTAACCGTGCAATTTCATTAACGGACGTACAAAATAATCATATTAATTGTTGAAACGAACGGGCGCGCTTTCCGTCTGAAAATGCGGACGCTATTACGTCGACCTCACGTTAATACTCAAGCATCGAAAATTCATTTACCGTGGTACTGCACGCTACACGCAATTTTCCCAAATACCTGTACACTATGCTTTACGAGTAATGAAATTGTATCGCGTTCCGATTAGCCGCGCGCAGATCGTTCGCGTATTTATCGTAAACGTTAAGCTAAATTTCCTAATCGCTCCATTATCGTTCCGATACGATTTCGCGAATATCGTCTTCGTAACGAGTAACAATAACTTGGCGGGTCTCACGCGTTTCACAGTAATTGCGTTTCCAAGCCTATTGTATCTGTGCGGGCGCTGCAGCAATGGGAATAGTTGGTCGTAAACTGCATAAGGAGAGGATCGGATCTGGGTACACGTGTCCTTGCAGGCCGAGCGACGCGTCGTCTTTAACCGGTCAATTCGCTCATCACCATGAACGAACTTCACGGCAAACCTTTCACTCGTATTCATCATTATCAAAGTATGCTGCGTTTGCCTATTTAACAGTCTGGACGAGGAAAAAGAGAAAAAACTGGCTTCTCTTTGTGAATAATTTATCTTAACGAATCTCATTGGTATTCATCGGTTCGTTCTCGTTCTCGTTCGTTGTATCGCCGATCGAATTTTATCGAGAACGATTTCGAACGATGCTTTATAACGTTTCACGGTTAGGGGGGCCGACTGCGGACCTTGGGAATACAGTAAAAGACGAGCAGGTGTGCCGCATTCCTTTAAACGGAACACCGACGTAGCCGGCGGAATAAGATTACTCGTTCCACGACTGGATCAGCAAGAGGAACGAATCGGAATTCGCGTGTACGGTGTTATCGAACGCGTAACGTACCCACCGTAATATAACGTGGACAGTGACGAACCGAGAAACAATCTGGCCACACGTTCAGATAGAAACGAGTAAGGCCGCGGATATATCGCGCAGCACCGTTAAGTCGCACACCACATGGTCGACTATCGGTCGCGTGTCACTCGACTTAAAAAGACATTTACCCAGTTTTATCGTGGTCGTGAGTGCGCTCTTTCGATCGTCGCTCGGCCAGCCTCCGGTTCAGCCAACTGTCTTGTCCGTCTCGGCCACGACGTAATTACCACGAGCGTCCGACGTGTTTCGATTCTAAGATCCAGCACAGAAATCTGTTAGTAAACGCACACACTGTAGCCACCGGTGCGGAATTCGTTACAGGCATGTAACAGTTCTCGGCTCACTGGGGTATGTGCACGACGATCCCGGACACAAGAAACGTTTTACGATCGACGGTGCCGCGAAATCCGATACCGACGAAATGTTCGCGTAGCACGAGATTCACGGAACAGGACGAAAGGAAAGCAGGACGCAGAGCGCACACACGGAGCCGAGGGATCAGACTCGCGAGAGGCGCCAGGTGCGAGCGGACGATCGGTCAAACTTGAACGAGTGCACTTTTACGCGACGAGGGTGCTCGTTGTCGCACGCGGACCGCTCCCGTGACTGCGTGCGACTGCTTTCCACGGACGAACGGGTCGATTAGCACGAATTTCATTGATACACACCTCTTATGACCTAGTAACGAGAACGCCTCCAGGTGCACATCTCGTACGCAGCACATACGTATGCATTCGACACTGCAGAGCCACTGAACATCGCCGAGGTTAGGGCATCGAAGTGGGGACACCTGTTCGACATTCGTAGTAGCACTTTCTACGCTCTCTGACGGCGGTGCGTGGCCGCCTATCGATAGCAGCTACGAACGCCGATGTACGCACAATCGAGAACCCCGTCGACACAGTCGAGATTTATCGGACGCGAAAGGACTGTTCTGTGTTCTTCATTCACGGTCGACTCACTCTCATTGATTCCGCAATGGCGACTGTCGCTCCGCGTATGGCCGTTTCACGAACCATTTTCGTGATTTGGCTTTGTTGTTAATGGAAGAATCCTTTCGATATGAATTTCAGTTAGTAAGTGTGAACTTAAACGATCTACAGAGTAGATCGATCGTTCAGTATATTTTTCTGTCCACGATTTCAGGAATCCTATGACCCCGTTATTATTTTAGAGTCACGTACAACGTGACTGACAGAGTCCAGAAACAGATCGCAACGCTGCACTTGGTACGGAATAGAATTTAACATGAGCACTTCTAGGTCACATGAAACCCGCGATTTTCAAATGGAGAGTCCATAGCAAAGATAAAAGAACTGTTATATCTGTTAAACTGCTAAAACCTGTATCTTGACTTTAGAACCATACGATTGTGCAATGCGTAATTAATTTTTGATCAATACTTTTATCGATGTCGCATCAGAAGTAAAATTCGTGAATTTGCTAACATTACCGACGTCGATGAACGGGTTAAATATGATTCATAGAATCATTGTCTTTAAGCACAGAGTGCGCTGTAATACCACTGATTGTTTACGTGATCAGTATTTCAATTCGTTAGAACACAACCTCGCATTGAATCGGTGGTGTTAACAACACCTAATTAGTCCTTACACTATTATTTATGATAGATCTATTTATTCCAAAATGTGTGATTTAGATACGGTGACTGCTACGAAACGGGAAGTGTCGACAGTTTCGTGATATTCTAACGTTACAATCGATTATCGATTATAAACAACGAATGAATTTTCATAAAATACGTACCACACTTCCTTTTGACAATTATTAAATACTCTGCCGAAAGAAGAATCAATTTTTGATCACATTCTGAATTAAACTGTCCTTGACAATCATTTTATTGTGTTTTGTTAGAAGAACAAAAATTCTTCGATTGATAATCGAATGGAAACGTTCGTCGCGTCACGTACGCACTCTATGGGTAAAAAATATAACTTTGTGAATCGTAATTACTTACGTATAATCGTCGAAGTGAATAATGTGAACCAATTCAAGAATCTATTTATCCATCCATACGGTTCTACAGTCAAGGTGTTTACGTTGTTCTAGTACGTAGGCTTATTTACGTTTTTTTTCTTTCGCATCTGCGGTCTCTACCCGAGGCATCCGTCGTTTCGCGAGTTAACGAAGTTTCGAAATACAAGCTTCGGGAAACATCGGGAGCCCCCCCACCCTCCTACCTATTTCACGAACGTTGCTCGGTTCAGCGAGCGGTCGCCATTACTATTGTCAAAATCGGCGGGTTGAGACGTGTCTGAACGTGTCGAGACCTGTCGCCGTTTCGCGACCGAGGTATATATTTCTAACCCGCTATTTCCTCTATTACTACTCACATTTACTTGCTAACGATGCTTTCGTTTAAAATTAATACATTTCTGATATAAATCGAATCGGAATTGTAAGAAAAGTTCGTATTTCGCACGTTTCCTTCGATACCCAACCGGCGTCGGTTTTTTATATTTCTTTAAACGAAATTACATATCTTATACATATTATTTCTAGTTTAATGATTCTTTAATTATGTTTACTGTAACGCATTTGCTTTTAATTTGTATTTTATTTCTGTTAAAGTCTCTGAAATTCGAAGTCAAGAATTTCTTTTCGAAGTGGAAGCTTCGGGAATCATAGGAGGCGCCCCCATCCTCCCACCTAATTCGCGAGTGATGCTGGGTACAGCGAGGGGTCGCCATTACTATTGTAAAAATTGGCGGGGTAAGACGTGTCTGAACGTGTCGAGACTTGTCGCCGTTTCGTGACCGAGGTATATATTTCTAACCCGCTATTTCCTCTATTACTACTCCCATTTACTTTCTAACGATGCTTTCGTTTAAAATTAATACATTTCTGATATAAATCGAATCGGAATTGTAAGAAATGTTGAATCGTATTTCGCACGTTTCCTTCGATACCCAACCGGCGTCGGTTCTTTATATTTCTCTAAACGAAATTACATATCTTATACATATTATTTCAAGTTCAATTATTCTTTAATTATGTGTACTGTAACGCATTTGCTTTTAATTTGTATTTTATTTCTGTTAAAGTCTCTGAAATTCGAAGTCAGGGAATTTCTTTTCAAAATGGAAGCTTCGGGAATCATAGGAGGCGCCCTCATCCTCCCACTTAATTCGCGAGTGATGCTGGGTACAGCGAGGGGCCGCCATTACTATTGTAAAAATTGGGGGGGTAAGACGTGTCGGAACGTGTTCAGACCTGTCGACGTCTCACGACCAACGAGGTACGCATTTCGAACTTTTTGATATCTCCTTATCATTATTACTCGTGTTTACTCTCTAATGGTGCTTTTGTTTAGTCGTTTTGTTTATTAATACATTTCTACAATAAATTAAATCGGAATTACGAGAAAAAGTGAATTATATTTCGAACATTTTCTTCGATATCTAACCGGCTTCGGTTTATTATATCCCTTTAAACGAAATTACGTATCTTCTACTTATTATTTCAAGTTCAATTATTGCTTAATTATGATTAGATATATTTTCTGTGATGCATTTGATTTTAATTTCTATTTTATTTCTGTCGCAGTCTCGGATTGAAATTCAAATACGAGGCAAGCTATCGACATGGAATCAACGCCATTACATTTGGAAACTTTCAAATGGCGTCATCTTCAAATGGTCTAGTAAGAATTGGTAACATTTAATAAAGATTTATGCATTCTTTATATATTTTTAACATTTTATCGAGTAATTATTTGTTGGAAGAATGATATATCAGTGTTCAGATTAAATGATAGATTAAATAAATCATTTTTTAATTTGCTTTATAATCGATTTTGATTAAGTTGGAAATTAAATTGGAATTGATATTTATATATTTTTATCTATTTTTTTACATTAACGGTAAATTGGAATGGTTTATATTTAACTGTATTTTGATCGCGAGTATTATTTATTTAATTGATTGTGTACAATTCTGTCTTTATGAATTGTTGTTAATTGCAATTTTCATACATATTTCGATGCAAGTTTAAGAAAATGCAGAAACTATGTACTTGGAATATGCTATTTAAGCATAAATAGCCATTAAACTTTAATTTTTGCAAATTTTCGCAATATAATATAAAAATTACGAGGTATTCAAACATTCGATAAAATAAATATAATCATTCTTACAACTTTAACTGTGAAAGTTAGTGATATTACATTTATAAATTGAATAATTACTTTAAAGTACATAATTATTTTCTTGGATAATACTTTATTGTTGTCACGACAAACTATATACGCAGTTCTAAATAAAGCAGTATTTCTGTTAATGAACATCGAATAAGGAAGAAGAAAAAAATACCAATAGGAAAGGCTCGTTGTATTTCTTGTGTCCTATTCCTCCTTTTCTTTCAGCATTCTTTTTCAGCTATGTTGGCCGCGCGCAAGGCGACCGGTAGACTCAGTGTTTACTGCGTAGCAACAGTTTGTTTTCCAGGGCAAAGTGACCCTGATCGTTTACTTGTTAGGCAAACGCGATAGTAGAAGCAGTGTTTCTTACGACAATTTCTAAGTATTTCCAGAGCATCGTGGCTCTCCTTGTTTTCTGAATCGCGAGAATAGATTCATTTGTTCGCCGTTTTCAATCTTCGGTCGCGGTAAATTAATTTAATACCTTGCAATTAACATGATAATTTTTTTCATTTGAAATTAAAACTCGTTTGCGGTATTAGAGTCAAACACTGAAGAGGAGTACATATTAGGCGGTGCTCCACGAGCAAACAATGTAAGGATAAATTTATACTTTGCAATTTTTAATTAAAAATCTCTGTAGTTTTAACAATAGATTCTAATTGTTTTCTTACAGTTTTCTTACAGTCTCTGAACCTGATTCTGGTATCCAGCTGCAGTACCCGGGGGGGTATCGGGCGATGGACCACGAACGAACAACGTAAGTATAAATTTATACTTCTAAATTTTTAATTAAAAATCTCTATAATTTTAACAACAGATTCTAATTGTTTTCTTGCATTTTTCTTACAGTCTCAACCTGGAAACCTGCAGGACCATGCTGACTTCGTCGATGACTTCAACTGGTCAACATCGTCATCCGAGCATTTACATTCTACGATTGAGTGAGTCGCATGTCATTTATGTTCCTCTGGTCCCCAACCATGTTGTAGGATGAAAGATCCGAATCAACACGGGTGACCAGTTGTATACTTGCTATTTTTGACGAGTCAAGTGACCACGGGTATTTTCAATACCCGTGAGTAGTAACACAAATTGTTATATTTTTTTAGCGCAGGCTAGGATCTTCTTGCACTCGCGTTTTTTAATGTTACAAATAAATATTACATAATTTGATTATAAAATTTTTATACAAATATTTAGAACAATTTTTATTAAATATATGAAATATTTTTATTAACTTTACATGAATTATAGATTGAATAGAATATAAATTGATATAATATGAAAATATTATATTGATCATATGATAGAGTAGAATATAAATATTAATTACTATAACATTATATAGTAATTTTGATAACATTAATATAATTCCTAAATATTGATCGTATTTAATGCATTTTATGTGCAAGAAGACATTTCGCGACTGATCGATTTTCGAGTCAAAGTAACATCTATTGTATACTAGTTTCAACTTTTTAAAAATTTACTTTGACGACAGAATCGATTATGGATTGTTGAATTTTTTATAGAATGATTTATTACATTTATTTCAATAATATATTTCAATTTTCAAATAAATTAATTAAATCTTTGAAGTAAATTATCATAAAATCTTAAATAAAGTCTTTTGTTTAACATAATAATTTTTTTGAATAATAATATTTTTCAATATTAAAGTATTTTGTTCTTGATATATTTTATATAACAAGTCGAGTCACTTTGATTGAAGATTAAATA